TAATGTTTGGTAGCGGGGCGGAAATCCCGACAAATATCATGGAAGTCTAAATACCGGTTAGCATATGTCACTTTGGATTTCAACTTAGAGTCACCGTTATTCTAACACTCACGTGAGTGTTCGCGTGCGCGACTAAAAGTCCTACCGGGGACTTCGTTTTGTTTGCTCGAATATTCGATTAGTTTATTTAGAGTAGAGTCACCGATTTTCGAACACTTGCGTGGGTGTCCGGGCGCGATTAAAAGTCCTATCATGGACTTCGTTTTAGTGTTGAAATTCGGCGTGCGCTTCGGATTTCAACTTAGAGTCACCGTTATTCTAACACTCACGTAAGAGTTCGCTTGCGCGATTGAAAGTCCTACCGGGGACTTCGTTTTATTTCTTCGACATATCGATTAAATTACTTCGCGAATTTGGATAGAACAGTAGAATCTACGTAATTATAACACACGTGAGTTTCGTGAACGCGATTAATGCGCTTTGATTGTTCGAAATTCGGATGCACGAATTCAGATGTGCTTAATAATCCGTTATGCCTGAGGCGGAGGGTGTCGAACGGTTAAGCTTTCTGTAAGTGGAGTCCCTGTAGCTAAGGCTAGATACTTCCTGTTAGCTTTGTCCCATGCCCAAGATATCCGAAGCGGAAGGCATGAGGGATCGGTATCGCGGTACGCGGATTTTAGAGTAAAGTAGAGTCACCGTTAGCTCGTGGGTCTCCACATGCAGCAACCTCCACGTGGTGAGACCTGGATCGTTAATACTTGCAAAGTCTAAATGTAAATTTTTAAATGCAAGTATTATCGAACGAATGGCTGCATATTGCATTACTTTTCCAATATCTTTTCAAACTAATTCCAACTAATCATTAACATATTTTCATTCTATATAGCTAATAATACTTCAAAAGAAGAAATATATCAGAAATCTATTGTACAATAATTTCTCGGAGAAACGAAAATGAAATTTTTCTATCTTTCTTCTATGTCCGCTGTCATTTCTATTTATTCTTATTTACTCTCATTAATTATCCTTTATATATCTCGGGTGGGACCTACGGGAGGGGCCTGTAGGCGAGGGCTTCTGTGCGGGCTGCTGTCTCAGCATCATAGAGAACTTTTTCTCTTGTCTTATCTTTTTGGGGCTCTCTATTCTTCTCTTTCTGGGGCTCTCTTTTCTTTCTCCGGCTCTCGTTTATATCTCATATTTTTCTTTTTCAATTATGTTTTCAATTGTGTTATTAATATGTTATTTCCTTTTAATTATGTTTTTAATATATTTCTATTAATTATGATTTAGTTGCTTTTGGTAGGACTCATGGTATGATGCATGCTGCTTCTCTTTTCGTTTCTTTTTCTCGGTCTCTTATCTATTTATATATATTTTCTATTTGTATTTTATATATGTGTATATATATTATTTTCTGTTTTATATATGTTTTTATTCTATTTTTTTCCTCTTTATCTTTTTCTTTTACAGGATAGGTCATCGAGGGATAGGTTCATCAGCGACCGGATGGTACATCGCATGGCAGGATTCATCATCGATTTTTTCACGCGAATACGGGAAGGATAGGAAGAACATTAGCGCGCGTGTCGGCGGGCACAGGCGTTGGTGTTCTCGGGCGCGATTAAACTTCGTTTGATTGTTCGAATCGAAAACGCGAATTGTAGAGTAGAGTCATCGTTTTTCTAACACTCGCGTGGGTGTTCGGGCGCGATTAAAGGTCCTACCGTGGACTTCGTTTGATTTCTTCAAAATTTCGATGGGGGTACTTCGCGAATTTCGGCTTAACAGTAGAATCTACGTAATTATAACACACACGTGGTGTCGCGACGCGATTAGTAGTCTAAGGAGTGCGCTTTGATTGTTCGAAATTCGGAAAGCACGAATTCTAATGTGCTTAATAATCCGTTATGTCTGAAGCGGACGGTGCAAATGGTGGAGCTATCTGTAAGAGGTGTGTAGTAGCAAAGCTACGCATACCCTGCTAGTTAAGAAGCCAGTGCATTGAAGCGGAAAGGTATCGCGGACCGGTATCGCGGAACGCGGATTTTAGAGTAGAGTCACCGTCAGTCCGTGGGTCTCCACATGCAGCAACTTCCACGTAGTGAGACCTGGGTCGGTATTACTTGCATACTCTAATTATAAATTCTTTAATGCAAGTATTACTGAGCGAATGGCTGCATATTTTTTTACTTTTCCAATATCTTTTTAATCTAATTTCAACTGAACATTAATATTTTTCCACTTTATATCGCTAATAATACTTCAAAGGAAAAAATATAACAGAATTCTATTGTACAATAATTTCTCAGAGAAACAAAAAGGAAATTTTTGTATAACACTTTTATTTCCGCTGTTCTTTCTCTTTCTCTTTATTCTTATTTACTCTCATGAATTATCCTTTATATATCTCGAGTGGGTGAGAGCATCTGTAAGGGTTGCTGTCACAGCATCTTGTAGAGATGCTTCTATTTTTTTATCTTTTTGCAGCTTCCTTCTCTCTCATATTTTTCTTGTTAAATTATGTTTTTAATTAGGTTTTCTAAATATTTATTTATGTTATTTCTTTTTAATTATGTTTTTAATTATATTATTAGTATATTCTTATTAATTATAATTTATGTTTTAGGTTGGATCCATTTGATGATGCGGGCTGCTGTTTCAACATCGTGCAGAGCTGCTTCAACTTTCGTTGCTTCCTCCAGCTCTCTTATCTATTTATATATATTTAGTTTCTATTTTCGAGGTATTATTTATATCTTAATACTATCCTTTTCTCTCATTTTCTCACACACTCTATAAGAGTACATTTATATCATCGTATTTAGTTAAAAACAGATTGACTTACGTGTATGTGTGATGGAGGATGATTGCGTTTCAAATATTATTTCTACTGTATTACGTAGTTTTCTTCATTTGTATGTTACTTGGAATGCTGAAAAATATTAGATCGATATTAATAGAATAAAAAATTAATTATATGCGAATTTACATGCATGCAGGATTTATCGATATTTGTATTAAAAGAAAGACATCTATATGTATATATATATATATATATATGTATGTATATATATGTGTATATATATATGTATATATATGTATGTGTATATATATATATATGTTTGTATATACATTTGTGTGTATATGAAAATCGTACATACGACGAAAAACAATGAAATACGATTAATTAAGGAAGAACTATTAGAATTAGAGCATCGTTAAAAGACAAGAAAATTATCGATATCGCAAAAATAATGTTTGAAAAACTGATAAATAATTATGGTGTGGTAGCTCTAACGGAGAAGCTAAAACACCGATTTTATTTTCGCGGATATCTTTTAAACAAGACGATGCCAACACTTGCGAACATACATGCATGGAAATCGCATTTTGTTTAATCGATTGATATATAAAATAAAGATGTACGTTAAAAAAGAATGTAATAATAACCTGTAATAAAAATGAGACGACGAAGGTCTGCTGTGACAGATACAACGAAATAATTACAAATGACCAATTCACCAATGGCAAGAAGACCCAGACGCATGCGCGATACGCCACCTGTCTAATGGCTTCCTCACTACCATGAAACATGTAATTTTTCGATCTATTATGAGGAAAATATAGAAACATTAAAAATATAACATAGGAATTTAAAAACTAACTAAACGGATACTGTATTAGCCTAAATTAATAAAATTAATCATTAAAATTCGATAGCTATAGAGATATATATCAAAGACACGAAAACAATATTTAAATAATTTATACTTTCGATAATTTTATAATTATATAAATAATATATAATGAATACAGAATATAATAGATCAATATTTAAACAATAATATATTCGCGTTAATATTAAATTGTTCGTAACAGGCATAATACATAAAATAATTTTAACATAACATTAAATATTCATTTTAATTTTGATCTCAAAGTTAATAGGCTATACGTAATATCGATAATAAACGAACGATAGATTGACTTTAACGAATATCGAAACAATTCTCGATTTTACGTTTCGAGAAGTGTAATCATTGAAATTCTCTCTATCTCCAGTTAAACTTAAATAAATCATAATATTGATAATTTAAAAATTATTTAAACAATTTGAAAAATACACGGATTATAACTATAAAAAACTAATATTTAAACGATATTACATGGATGTAAATATTACGTAAATCAAAACACGCATTAAATATAAAGAAAATATAAATGAATATATTTAAATAAGGTTAAATTTTCAATATAATTTTTAAGACTTTTAAATTGGACTTGGAATAAAATTTTCTTTTAACGTGCATCGATAGTTTAATATCAACAAAAATGACCATTGTTAGTAATGACCATAAAAAGTGTTTACGTGCAATTTTCTTTCGTACTTCAAAAAGTCAACATCGATAATACGCTCTTTTCGTATTACTCTAATGCAAAAAGATATATTATCTATTATATTAATAATAAAGATATTATATTAAAGTTATTAATAAATAATATTATATTATTTATCCGAAATATTTTCTTTCAGGAGAAAAGAACCGAGCTCTTTCATTTTTCAAACGTTCGCAAGTATTTTCTAATATCTTCTGATTTCTCGTCGATGGATGGGATTTATCATCGAGGGAACGTTTCATCATCGATGAACCGACCTATCAACTTTGATGAGGCACGCACAGTCCATCGGCTTGTATATATCATGCGATTATGTGTATATGTATATGTATATTTGTGTGTGTGCGTGTATATATATATATATATATATTTTTTTTTTTCTTTTTTTTTTTTTTTTCAATTTTCTATTTCTCGTGAAAAATGACTTTTTATTTTTTTTTTTTTTTTTTTTTAATTAGGGAGACGGTATCATGTATTTTGTAGAAAGAGTGCGGTCACTGACAACGAACGGATATGCATATCGGTGAAACAAAGAGGGAGAGAATCATGTTCATTTTTCTTTGGTATGCGTAATGTGTTTATCGAATTTATCAAAATTTCTTCTTCATCATTCCGTACGCGAGTGATCGTCAGTCGACGAACACGAAAATATAATCATAAACTCTTTCTGCCACGAATTATACGGTTTTCGTTTTATTAACGTATTAATTTCATTTACGAATATAATCATTTTTCTCTTTCGGTAAAATAATAAAAATGTCGGTAATCGTTCATTATGCAGTCGTTGCATTCTGGGAGAAATCTGGTTGCAAGATCGTCGCAGATTATTTGGTCGATCCCGAAGCCGATTGTCGTGAAATTGCTTTAACTACAATACAGGATATTAAGAATCTTGAAAACGACAGGACCAGCCTCGATCGGGGCAAGTAAGCTCAGAAATCCTCGATCTGATTTCGGTGCGTTTTTGTGCTCGTTATTGTCTAACAAAAAAGTGGATTTTTTTTGCCTTTTCTCTCTCTCTCTCTCTCTCTCGCTCTATATATATATATATATATATATATATATATATATATATCTATCTACTATCTATCTATCTATCTATCTATCTATCTATCTATCTATCTATCTATCTATCTATCTATCTATCTATCTATCTATCTATCTATCTATCTATCTATCTATCTCTCTCTATCTATCTATCTATCTCTCTTTTCCCTTTCTCTCTCTTTCATCGAATTTTATAAATGAATGCAACATTACAAATTATAAATGCAATTTAGTCTAATTCCAAAATTGATAAAAATTTAATATATCCATTTATATTCTCTTAGAAATCGATCTATTTTATATGTAAAAAAAAAAAAAAAGAAAACAATTAATAACAAACAAACGCTGAATATATATATTTATATATATTTAGGCTATTTGTCATAATTATCATTTAAATATTATTAGCACATAGAATAATGTATGTATTTACTGCGTTTATTGATTCGTGAAAATTTTTTGGGCAATTTGATTAATGGAAATCCATCGTTAGATGAACGAGCCTTGTTTTTTTTTTTTCCCTTTATCTTTCTAAATATCACATAGAAAATTTTCATTTTATATATTGTCTTTAGATATATGGTGCATCTACTGATCGGAGAATTGCATTATGCTTGCTTGACAACAAAACCAGAATCTTCATCGGCAGCATCCCGATTAGAATCCTGTTCTCAAATCTTTCTCGACAGGTTGAGAAATATTTACAGAGAATTACCGATACTTGCCGATCTATCGAGGGATCTAACTAATCTAGCTGTCGCCGATCTTTCTAAACCACTTCAACAAATTATTGTACGTATTATTTCTTAATTTATTATGAAATTTATTACATTTCATTATATAAGAATCCTATTAAAGGTATTAAGGGCTTAACACATTTGCAAAAAATGTTTTTTTTTTTTTTTTTTTATGATCATTTCAAAATTTGTTACAATCATTAATATAAATTATCTCTTTAACTGTTAATTTATTTGTATTAATTAACATATTAATTAATATAAATAATTAAATACATATATATGTATTATTATTATACATAATATATTATTAGATAATTTAATTATTTTTATTAAATAATATATTTATAATTAAAGATGATAAAGCGTAACGACAAATTAAATACAACAAAATAATAATAATGATTATTATTATTATTATTATGTTAATGTATTAATTAACGTTCTTTATTTTTTCTCATTTCATCAATTAAAAAGAAAAAGATATGTAATAAATTAATAGAAATTATAATGGTTTTAGAATGAATACAATCAACAGGAACCAAATACTATACCAAAATTGGAGACCCAATTAGTCGAAATACGACGTATGTTAATGGATGGCATTCAAAAATTGATAGACAGGGGTCAAAAATTGGATGATCTACTTCGTAAAACGCAAACTTTACAAATTACGGTAAATTTTTATGTTTTTTTTTTCTCTCATATAGAACACATATTATAATAATATTGTCTTTATAAAAAATTGAAAAATAACTTATTCACATATATTAATTTGTTTGTCAATCATTTTTGTTATTTTCACAAATGTTTTTTGATAATTTTATTTTTACTTTTATTATATTTAAAATGAATTAAAAGAATGACTTGGAAAAAATATTAAATACGTTCAATATTTTAGATGCAAAAAAACAAAATTATCTAAAGTCCAGCAGTAATAAACAATATTCGAATGATCAATATTTAATCAATCACTTTACATAGTTTGCTCTATAAAGATTGAAAAAATTATGATATACATTATGTGTGCTTTATATAAAAAATTTACATTTTTTAATTATTAGGAAATATGATTCATTGGTTAGTAATATTATTAAACTTGTTTTTATAATCGAAGATACAACTCATAAATTATAATTTCCCGCATTATCGGTATTAACGATACGTACGATTCCATAGGTCGTGACTTACTGACCGTTAAAGGTTTATAACAATTATTGATATCCTTTCATGTATTTATTAATCATTGTATTCACAATAACATCTTACGATATCATTTACTCGTTCATGAGAGTAAAGTGCATAAACAGAAAAATAAAGAAAAAAGTAAATTTTCTTAAATATCAAATTAATTAACTACACGTATTAAACATTTATTATTAAAAATCAATCATTCGAATATAAGATAATTAATAGATATTTATTATATCAAAGATTATATCAATAATTATAAGATATTTTTGGTCTTTTGTCAAATTTTTAGATCCTAATATAATATTATTTTTAATAATTTGTTGCAGTCGAGAAAAGATTTTCACATGGGAACGAAAATACCACGGAAGAAAAACGTTTTCTTAGCTGCCACTGCAGCCACACTGATGTTTCTATCAACATCCCTTTTTGTTTTCTTATTGTACATAGGTATTTTGTAAAATATTTTGTTTAGAAAAGAAAAAAAAACAGCACAAGGAGACATCGCATATTAACAATATTAAGTAATAATAAATAATTTATTTACTTTTCATGTTCAACAGGAAACTTCATACGACGATGTTGTTTAATTTCTTATTTTTAGGCTAAAAAATAAACTCACTGAGCACAGATTGCATTGAATACGTTTTAATTACTGTAACTGTAGATTTTTTACAATACTGCAAAAGAAAAAATAAGATTTGTGCATGAAAGTGATATCGGATTATGAATAATTAAAAATCCAATTTAGGTCTCTTCTGAATCCATTCTTTAATTTTTGGAATTGCAAGTACCTTCTCCTTGAGAGACTTCAAATTAGGATTATCCTTACCAATATCTAACTCACAAGCATTGTTAATTGAATCCGAAATGGCCACGAAAAACAAATCAGCATAGCTCAACTAAAGAAAAGAAAAAAAACTTTTGTTTAATATTTTATATTTTGCATTATGATGAATAAGAAGTGTTTGTTAACAAAACAAATGATATGAGAATAAAAATTACAATAATGAAATAGAAGTAGTGTACTACGGTGGTCAAATTAATAAAATAAATTTTATTTTTTTTCTTCATTATTGTCCTTACTTTTAAATGAATATTTTTCTTAGGTACTTTAAAAGTTTCTAGGTAAATCAAAAGTTTCTAGATAACTTTGAAAATCAATTATTTTTTTCCAATATTTTTTAGGCCAATTTTTTTCAAATTATAAAACTATAACCATAACCACAAATCTGAAAATCATCTAAGGACTTTCTCTATAACTAACCTAAAATCTTTTGGCCCAATGCTCTGAATTTTATTTAAAATAAAAAAAGAAAAGAAAAATTCATAATCAATAAAATAACAGAAAATATCTAAATTTATACCTGACCACCATGCAAATAACCACCATTATTATGAACCAGTTCTTCTAACTTTTTCAAATAAAATGGTAAAATTGTAGTTAAAACTTCTTCCTTTTTTTTAGCCTTCTCGTTGGGATCAGTGCTTCTATAGAAAAGTGCTACTTCTATAAATGAATATAATTCAATAAATAAATTAATTAAATAAACAAAACTTTTTAATTTCGATCAAAACACATTATATTGAGATATTTCAAATATTTCAGATCTTACGTTTTCTGAGATCGTGAAGAGCATTAGCAATAGCATTGATCTGTAAATCGTCCAAATCCGTTTTACCATTTAAATTATATTTCTTCGCCAAATATTGGCAAATCGGTAATGTTTGAGAATAAACTTTACCATCGAATTCTAAAATTGGCATCTGCCCAAATGGAGTTGCTGCAAAAAAAAAAGAAAAAAAAAGGAACAATATAAAATTAAATCAATTTACGCGGTGTCATAAAATAGTTAAACAATTAATCAAAGTAAATAGAAACAATTAATAATAACAAGTAACATAATAATATCTTTTAATGAACAATTAATGATAAATAGAAAATATTGATGGAGAGAAATTAAATTAATAATGAAGAGAAAAAAGAAAAAAAATAATTTTCGTAATAAACAATCGATAAAATAAAATGTACATACCTGATTTAAATTTTAACCATTCTTCGCGATCAATACGAATATCTTCAAATTCGGCGCCACCGTAGCTTAACAAGAATCTTATTGGCTCACCCAAACCCATTACATTGAAGTATGATAACTTGTACTGCACCATTGTCACCTGAAGGAAACAAAATTTTATATTGAAGAAAAATAAATAATAATAAAATATTTTTATTAGTACTGAATTATTTATATATATATATATATATATATATATATATATATATATATATATATATATATATATATATAAGTATGTAAATAAATATATAAATAAGTAATATAGCAGAGTAATGAATGTATTATTATTATTATTATTATTATTATTATTATTATTATTATTATTATTATTATTATTTAATTAATTAATACTTTACTAACAATTAATAATTGCACTATAAAATTGAACGACACTAATCAATCGAAGATCCAATTGATACTAACTGAAGTATGTTCGTCAATGTATAAGGATCTACCATAAGAATTACATGTTTGTTCCCCCTCTCCAATAATCAAACTTCTCCTCATCTCTTTCTTTTAGCTTTTCAAGTATCTTGCTCGTATTGCGTATATGTGAAACGATTATACAGGAAAACCGGTCGACACATTTGGTGGGGAATCTTTAGCTTACTTTCACTTTTCGGTTTGTTACAATAAAGATGAAATGACATCGAATTTTATCCTCTTAATAAATAAATCAATTTGGTTTTTGTATTTATAAATTTTATGATTTATAAAAAATCATAACTTTTTTGTTTCGCTTTTGTTATCTTTCGCTTATGTTCGATAATCTAATCTCTTTGTATAGATTATACCGATCAAAATGTGTGTGTGCGTAAGTACGTACGTTAAATATTATAATATTATAATATTATAATATTATAATGATATTTGATGTCAAACATGAAATATATATTTTGAATGTTTATATTTTATTTACAAGTAAAAATTCAAAATATCATAAATATATTCTTAGCTCGATCGATATATCAAATTCGAGAAACGAAATATTTTATTAATTATGTCAATACGTCATTTATTACTTAGTAATAATTTTTTTATGGGAAATATAGAATATATTTTTTCTATATTCGTATGGATATATTTTAAAACATTTGGAAGGAAAAAAATTTCGATTAGAACAAAATAAGTTTTATCACATGGTGCAAAACATCATAGATACGTTCTTAACTCGATCACGCTTCGAGGAACGATACTCAGTCGATAATCGAATAATCGACTTGATAACTTTATCTCTCAATAACCTCTTTCATTCCAATTTATTATCATTAGTAATATAACATATAGGACCTTTCGTTGATTCACGTCAATCTACATTGGATTTTAAAATAATATCCAATCGTAAATTTACAGATAGTAGAATAAAGAAAGTTTTTGTTTCGAGAATCGTAATGAAATATAAACGATACTTTTTTTTATTTTTAATAACCTTCAATATTGTATTCGGTCGAGCAAAAATATTCGATAAAAATCTGTATGAAATCGAACACATAGATGGTCGTTTGTCTAAGGACATCGTACCAAAAAAATATATCATCGCAGCATCACCTGATTTCATCGAAGATAGGTTTTATGGTGCTGTACAAATCGATTTAACAATTATGAAGGTATCTATTCGATTTTTCACATTTCGATAAATCGAATCATTATTTTCAATATGTCTCTCTCTCTCTCTCGTCCTTTTCTTTTTTAGGTTAAAGATTATATAGTTTTACATTCAAAAAATTTAACCATCACATCGACTAAATTGTATAAAAGTGATATGCCATATGATGAAATTTCAATCGATACTATTTATCCTATTGAAGAATATGAAATGATAGTAATCGAAATTACAAATAGCTTAAAACCTGATAATTATATCCTAAGAATGAATTACAGTGGTACATTAAGCAATAAGATCAATGGATTTTATTTGAGTAGTTATACAGTTAATTCCGAAAATGATCGTGTCAGGTGATTTCAATGATCATTTGGATTATATATATTAATATTTTATAATATTCTTTTTTTTTCTTTCTTTCTTTCTTTCTTTCTTTCTTTCTTTTTTCTTTTTAATTTATTCTATTTATAGAAAATTAGCGGTCACACAATTTGAGCCAACTTATGCGAGAAAAACATTTCCTTGTTTCGATGAGCCAGCATTTAAATCTGTTTTTCATATTCGTATCGTTCACGATGGAAAATCGAATTATCATGCTTTATCTAACATGCCGAGTATAGTAAGCAGAAAACTTTATGCCATATTGAAAAATAATATAATGTGGAATATTTCGAACGTGACAAAAAAATATTGAGTATATTGAGGAATATACTTTTTTGAAAATTACTACTTTTGAAATCGAAATTCGTTTATTTTGGATCCTTAAAAAAATATGATTTTAAGGTTTCAAAAAAAAAAAAAAAAAAGAAAAAGAAAAACAATTTTGAATTCGTGAAAGATTAAATTTAAGATGACAAAATTTCGGTAAATATTTTCAAACGAAATATTTGCAATTTTTCAAAAATTCATACTCGAAATATTCACAGCAAATTCTATAAAATCGTAAAAAAAGATTCTGATATTAATTTGTAGAGAGTCGATAAAGCGGATGATAATAGCGATTTGATGGTAACAACTTTTGCACCTACTTTACCGATGTCGACATATCTCGTGGCTTTTCTAATAAGTGATTTCGAGTGTCTAACCTCAAGTGCAGATTCATTAAACGGAACTAGAATACCGCTTAGTGTTTGTATTAGATCGGATTACAAGAGTAAAGTGCAATTTGCTTTGAATATTGCTGCCCAAGCTATCGAATATTATTCGAATATTTTGAACATCGATTATGCTCTCCCAAAATTAGGTATAATATTAATTAATTAAATTTATATATATATAATTAAGACTGTTTTCATAATGATCAACCCATATGTTATAAAATTGCTACGTATAAAGATGTAATTAATACAGAAAAAAAGAATTTCGTAGATCTCGTCGGAATACCGGATTTTGCAGCTGGTGCAATGGAAAATTGGGGTTTAATAACGTTCCGTGAGACTGAAGTGATCTACAGCGAGGAACATAGCTCATGCGAAAACATAAAGAGCGTTGCTCTCACGGTGACCCATGAATTGGCACATATGTGGTTTGGAAATCTTGTTACAATGAAATGGTGGAACGATCTTTGGCTCAATGAAGGTTTTGCAACTTATATGGAACACATTGCTGTCGATTTTATTTTTCCCGAATGGAATCAGGTCTTGTATATTAACAGATTAAAAAAAAAAAAAAAAAAAAAAAAAAACAAAAAAGAAAAACCTCGTTAATACAATTTAATTATTAATTGTAATACAGTGGTGCGTTTATATTTTTTCTTCTTCTTCTTTAGATGCAAATCTTCCCATTGGATACTAAATACACATCGATGATCTATGATATGAAAAAAAATGCACACCCAATAGTTAATCGTCTTGAAGCTTCCGATGAAATAGGTCAAATGTTCGATCGTATTTCTTATCAGAAAGTATGCTAATATCTTAACATCCTATTATGTAATTGATAATATGAATTATTTCCCAATTATAAAACATTCTTATCTAGGATAATTTAATGGTACTTGACGAACTTTTATTAAAAAAAAAAAAAAAAAGAAAAATAAGATAATCTTAGAAAAATTTATATAATAACAAATCAAATTGTTCTAATGATCGAAATACTTTATTCATTACTTGTTATGATATTTGATGGTTTTTCTTTTTTTTTTTTTTTCAGAGTGCTGCAGTAATTAACATGTTAGAAGATGCAATAGGCAATTTAAAATTCATCTCTGGAATTAGAAGTTACCTTAAGATGTATCAATTTGCTAATGCCGAGTCGAAAGAACTTTTTGAACGTTTAAACGAGGAAAGTAAAAATTTCGTAAATCTAATAGATTTTTTAAATCGTTGGACAAGATTATCTGGATTTCCTCTCGTTAAAGTTAAACAAAAGGATAGATCAGTGAAATTGTCTCAGCAACGATATATCGTTGATAAAAAACAAGAGGAATCGTTCACGTAAGTTGAAAATATAAAAGGCAAACTTTTTAATTCTTATCGATTATATTATTATCATAATATAATTGTTTTCAATGATAGAGAAAGTTGGGACATTCCTTTGAGGTATATAACGAGTCGACAAGAAGACGGTATCAATTTCGCTTGGTTCCTTGCTAATTATTCTTGCGGCAAGTATTAGATTTTGTTTTTTATCTATGAATATACATGATATACAAAGATATCCCGTCTTAATCGATCCAAACGAATTTCAATGAAATTTTTAGCAGATCCAAAAAGAAAAAAAAAAGAAAAAAAAAAAGAATTCAAAATTCATTAAATTTTCATCATAAATCAACGAATAGAAAATGAACACGCAAATTAATAAAAAATTACTGACATAATCACTTACGTATGGATCGATTAAAATATAGTATCCAGAGAATTTTCTTGATAATAATTAAATCATCATGTTAATATATCCATGCAGTCGAATTGGTCTTAGAAAAGTCAGTAAATTGGGTAAAATTGAATCACAATTCGATTGGTTATTATATCGTTAATTATACTGAAGATAATTGGAGAACGTTCACTGACTTACTATTGACTAATATCCAAGTAAAGATCAAACACACTCACATCCACACTCACACAATTCTTTTATCTTATATATATATAAATCTGATTTATAAGAATGTACTTGAATAATCATAATCTCATTAATAGGTTCTGGATCCAGTAAATCGTGCAGATTTATTGCACGATGCATTTATTTTAGGTGATAATAACGATCTATCATATCATATCGTTTTGAACATGACCACTTACCTAAAAAACGAGAGTGCTCTTCAACCTTGGATAGTTGCTGGTCAATGGATCAATCATGTTAACAGATTATTTCGTTCGACTAATTTGCATCGTCCGTTTCAAGTAAAATTTTATTACTTTTATATTTTAAAATTTTCATTCATTTATTATTAACAAATATTTATTTGAAATTTTATAATTCTTTTTCTTTTTCCCCTTGTATGTGCATGTATACCATTGTGACATCGAAAAAAAATATTTATAATAATAATTAATTAATTATTATTATAAAAAATCTATTTAATTAAATTTATTTATCGTAGTCCTATGTGCAACGTCTGATCGAAAAAATTTATCAACAAGTTGGATGGAAGGTTAACGAGAAAGAAGAATTACCATACAGGTAGAAAATCGTTATAAGATTTAATAAGTATTTCTCTTATCTTTGATCGTACGAGAAATGTGCCTAATCTCATGATCGACTTTTCGAGAGAATTACGGGTAGTTATTCTGAAGATAGCATGCAGTGTAAAATTCGATCATTGCTTGGACACAGCCATTATGAAGCTTAAAAATTTCGTTGATAGTAATGCCACGCAAAAATTGCATCCTGACATTCGTTCTATCGTTTATTCCTATGGTGGGTTAAACAATATAAAATGTAATAATATTTTATGTTTATAAAAAAATATATATATATATATATATATATATATATATATATATATATATATATATATATGTACGTTTTTCTAATTAAGATTTATTTTTTTTTCTTTCTTGATATAAAGGTCTCTTTTTGCCAAACGAGGAGGCTGAACCGATATTCGAAAAAATGTGGGAATTCTTTTTAAGAGAGGCAGATGTGCAAGAAAAAAAAAGATTGTTGATAAGATTAGCAGCTGTTAGAAACAAGGATATTCTCAATAAGTACGTGTTAAATATTTTTATATCGAATTAAATAATGATTATATATTTAAAATTAATCTTAACGTAGATATCTTTTGAAGATACAAGACGAGAAAGTTGTTCGTAGGCAAGATTTTTTTGAAGTCATCAGTAATGTCGCTTTAAATCCAGTTGGTCTTGATATAGTCTGGGACTTTTTTAGGTAGTTTTTCGTTAAAATTAAAAAAAATATTTTAATTGTAAATATGAAATCCATATTTTTTTTTTCTTTTTTTATAGAAATCATTGGGAAAATTTGATCGAAAAATTTGCATTAAACGATCACGCTGTGGATGCAGTTATAGGAGCAGCCATTTCTTTATTCAAAGATGAAGAAAAATTGATGGAGGTATTTTGTTTGAATATGAACTTAGATTGATTTATATTTTATACGTTAATATCGTAGGTAAAAAATTTCTTCGATAAATATCCAAATATTGGTCCAAATGCAAATATGAAGAAAAATGTGATTGAAGATATTGAAAGTAATATCAAATGGATAAAAATGAATTTGTGGCAATTCGAACAATGGTTAAACGAAGAAGGAACTTATTTTACATAGAACTTTCATTATAAAATATAATTATATGTTTTTTTTTTTCATTGTTCATTTAATTAACTGTTCCTTTGACTTATGTTATATATCCTCAGAATGCATCGATACATAACTCGATGTCGATTAAAAAATTAATATACATTTTATTATCAATGCCAGAATTTGAATATTATCATCTGATATAATCTTAAAATTATAACAAAGTTCTTAAAAAAAAAAAAAAAAAAAAAAAAATATAGATATATATATATATTACATATCAGCTGTACTCCATTTATATGCTTCCTCTTGCAATGCTGTTTTTGCATTTTGTGCTTCGAACCATTTCTTTTCGTATCCGTTGCTCCTATCGACTCCGTCCCAACGATGACCAGGTTTGATACCAAAACGATTAGGCGTAAAAGATCCTTGGTATCGTAGTTCATCTATTAAGATATTTACATTGTTTATTATTATAACGAACTTTTATATTAATAGAGATTAATATTTAACAATTAATTCGTCTGGTTGTACAAAAAAAAAAAAAAAAAAGAAAAAAACAGCATATAACTCACCAGGTTTTATTTTTCCTTCTTTTATTTTTTTCTTCCTAATATATTCCAACATTGGATCACCTTCTTTTTCTTGTTCCCTAAGTGCTTTGTCTAAATCAGCATCATCTGCGTATCTTGCCAATGGTTTGCTTATTTCATGAAGATAATTCTTTAATTTTTCTTCTTTATCTTCTACTTGTTTCAATCTAGAGAGAGAGAAAAAAAAAAAAAAAAAAAGAAAAAGAAAAAAGATAAAAATTGTTTTGAAAATATCTTTTTAATAAAATTATAATACAGACACGCATGCATTATAATTTATATCATCCCTAAAAAAATATTCTTACCCTTTACCCCATTTTTCATATTTTTCATTCAATTCTTCTTGACGCTTTTGTTTTTCACGTTCTACTGCCGCTTCAGCTTCTAAATTACGTCTCCTTCCAGTTTTAGAATCTCGTAAGATAGCCTTTTGACCAGCACCGGTGATTTCTTTGCTTAACTAAAGAAATATAATATATAATTATTATTTTATTGACACAAAAGTCAATAAAATTATTAAATATCTTTAATATTAAATATCTTTAATAATACCTTATTAAACATTTCAGCTTCACGTTTTTTAAAAGCCTCTGATTCTTCGCGTAATGATTTTGCATCCTGCAAACCAGCGCTCTTACCGCTTAAAGTTTTCTTCATTTTTGTATCCTGTGTCGTATTTTCACTATTTTTCGACTCGTTTCTATCGTTTTGATCATCCCATTTTGTGTGATGTTTATAATGATTATCATGATCTTTCCATCTATTCTTTTTAATCTTTTCTGAAGAATGCCTTCCATGTTTTGATTGCCTAAGTGCTTGACTTTGATCACTGTCATAATCCTTATATTTATGAGAAGAGCTTGAACTCTTTTTACTGTATTTTTTATGAGATTTAGATAAATCTCTAAATTGTTTACTTTTGGAATCATTATGCTGTCTCCTATCTTTTCTAGGAGGACTCAAATCCGAATCATCGTTCTTCCTACTTTTTCTAGGTGGACTCAAATCCGAATCATCGTCCTTCCTACCTTTTCTAGGTGGACTTAAATCCGAATCATCGTCCTTCCTACTTTTTCTAGGTGGGCTCAAATCTGAATCATCGTTCTTCCTACTTTTTCTACGTAAACTCAAATCTGAATCATTGCCTTTCCTATTTTTTCTAGGTGGGCTCAAATCCGAATCATCGTTCTTCTTACTTTTTCTAGGTGGACTCAAATCCGAATCATAATCATGCTTAGTTTTTTTAGAATGTTTAATATCTGATCGATTATTCTTTTTATTTCTCATTGATAAACTATCATCCGAATCTTCATTCGTTTTATTTTTCCTAATTGGACTCGAATCTGAATCATAGTCTTTTTTACGTCTTCTAGTTTCTTTTTCCTTTTTATCCGATAAAACAGTATCGTCCTGTTGTTCTTTCTCGCTACTTTTAAACCGCAATTCTCCATCCTCATTGTCGGCTATAATTTTCCACTTTTTCTTGTCAGAGAAATCAACCGGGCCACGTTCGTCAATTATTCCTGCTATTTGAGGTGCATCCTCTCCGTTGATGAATATGTCAAATTCACCATCTTCTATTGGTCTGAGCTTCTTGAGGTCTATGTCATCATCTATGATTTTTACTCTGTAAAATACATCTGTCTGTTTGTAGAATGGAAAAAAAAGAAAACTACACCATCTTTCGTATATATTATAGTTTAGAAAATTCATTATTTCAATATTTTCAAAAAAGTTTTTTTTCCGTGCATCCGATACAATTCGATGTAAACGTGTATATGTTCGGTGTATATTATATAAAAACAATGAATTTTATTTTGAAACTATCAAATCATTCAATATGTATATATATATACGTTTCTAAATTCCAAGTCGTATGAGAAATAATTTATTTTATACCTAAAAAAACAAAGGCCTAATGTAGGAACCATTGAAATAGGTTATAAAGAATGCAAATTAATACTTACGTTTTTGGACCAACCTTGAGTTTCTTCTTCTTCTTTTTTTCTTTTTCATTTCCAGAAGATAAATACTTCTTTAAATATTCCTTTTGACTCATAGACTTATCCATGACAAATTAATTTTTACAAATTTAAAAACGCCTAAACTCAAATCTATCTACAACAATCTGTTATTACACGTAGCCATTGACTTTATAAACTACATATAAAATGTTTTCGCTAGGTTGTGTTGATTACAGCGACACTAGCGGGAACTAATTGAAACATTTCAAATAATGTTATATTTTATAATTAATATGATTAAATTATATACAATTAATGATTATGATTAATCAATTGATATCAATTATTACAAAATAATCTTTTTATTTGCTACAGAAAAAAAATTAATAACACAATAATAAAAAAATCTAACACATCTCCTATATACATATATACATATATATTAAAAAAGGAAAAAAAAATGTACAATAATAAACTTTGTAATTAAATTCGATACACTTTGTAGTTATCTTCTTAATAAAATAATCTTATCGTTTATTTATGTATATATATATATATATATTAATTATTAATAATATTGTAAATCGAAAATTTAAATTGTACTATGTTCCCGCTTTAAATGTCATTCGGTATCCCCTCTTTCGAAATTACAGCTTATAGAGAAATATATGTGGGTCCATAGCTAAAATGTTGCTAGCAATATTGACCAGAAGATTTATCAGTAGAAGGGGATTTGATCAGAGTAACGGTATATGTCACAACCTTGGTCAGATACAATTATCTACTCCTGTCAGCTCCAAGAAAAAAAAAATGGTGAGTTTATTCATTAGACAATATTTATTATATCCCAAATGAATAAAAAATAGAAAATAAATTGAGCTGTAAACATTATAGAATGAGATACTTGTTTATATCTTGCTTGAAGAAATCAATATGTTCAACCACTTGTTACATTCATCTTTTTTTTTTTTTCTTTTTCTCTTTTTTATCCAGAAATTGTAAAATATCAACAATATTTATATGAAAGAACATTTTAAAGGAAGGTATTATATATTAAATCATGTTTCTCTTTGTGATAAAAAAAATAACATGAAATCAAAATAATATGTTAAAATTGATATTGATAATATATTATGATGAAATAAATTTGTCCTTTATCAATAATATGAATGCTTACCTATTCTTAAGTATTAATCTAATATTATCTTATAAATTATATTTAATCAATAAACTATATTTATTTAAATGTTTAAATTAAAAATATAAAACATTGTTGATACTATGATTCTAGAAGAAACTGACGCAAGAAGAAAGGGATCTACTTTTGAATCCTTTGTTAGAAAATGGATGGACTTTGAAAACAGAACGAGATGCCATTTATAAAGAATTTATATTTAAAAATTTCAATGAAGTAAATCAATATCTTTGTTAATTTCAAACAATTGTACAATTATTGTTTTTACTTTTATTTTCATATTTTTTAACAGGCTTTTGGATTTATGACACGGATAGCTCTACAATCGGAGAAAATGAATCATCATCCAGAATGGTTTAATGTTTATAATAAAGTAAACATGACTTTATCTACTCATGATGTTAATGGATTATCGCAGAAAGATGTCGATTTAGCAACATTTGTTGAGAATGCTGCTAAGGGTTACAATAATTAATTTATTTTAAGATTGATGCCCTAATATAATCGTTGGATCAAGAAACAAACATGAATATATATATATATATAGAAATTTTAATGATATTTTTAAAAGATTATCTCACATAAAAAAAAAAAAGCATGTTAAAATATTTTATTATTTTTTATTATGATTAAAATAATAAAGTTTGTTTATGCAGTTATCAAATAATTATAATTATTCTATGCGTTTTGATTATAAATTAAGAATTTGAAGCTTTCAAATTATTCCAATGCTTTTCAAATTACATGCATATTTCGATTTCATAAAATGCACCAATCAACGAACACCTTTCAAAAAAAATCTAATGATAATTTTTTTTTTTTTTTTTTGGAACAAAATTTAAATATACTCGCTTAGAAAAATTGTATATAATTTTTATTGATTATATGTCAAATTTTTTTTATTATTATTCTGATTGGTTTACAAAATCGAAATTAGATCTTTTCGATTATATAAACGAACTCTGTATATATGATTTTATCTAGTGACGTTCGTATCATGTATTCACGTATACATCTCTAGAAAAGGAAATATACATATACCGTTATTACCTTGTGTTTCTAGTCACTTTTCTAAGTTGCTTTGAATCTACGCTTGTAAATTAAGATCTCTTCGGATTAAACATTTCTAAACTTAACCAAAAAAGATAGTGACGGAAAATTAACAGATAATCTGTGTCATATACTATACATCGATTTTAATCATTTAAAAAAAAAAGATTAACATTATTTTACATTTCTAACAAAATGATTTTACAAAGAATAACAAATCTATGTGTTTTACGTAACATTAAACAATTCGGTAAGTTTTCATTTTGATATTCTCCTTGGATATTGAAATATAATTTAGATACAAATTCATTTATGTAATCGTTATCATTTGTTTAACCTAACTAATTTTTTTCTTTTTTCTCCATGACGAATTGTTAAAATGCGATTATAACAAATATTCGCGAATTTTTATAAAGTATTTTTAATGAATGGATTAATGTTAGATATTGCTATATTGTAATAATGTGTGATATTGATAGTAATTTTTTTTTTTTTTTTTTTTTTTTTTAAATGGAAGTAAACATGATTTTTTTATTTCAGAATCTATTATAAAGCCTAGCTGTATGTTATCACAATATGGGCAATTATCACAAACAACCAGACTTTCTTCCTCCCTTGCAAATTTGAATCTTAAGAATTCTAAACTAGTTAATCATGAAAATCATCAATTATTGACGAAGGTTACGCATCTTTAAGGCTTATTCTTTTAAAATAATATTAAAACTATAACTTAAAAATTGTTTTTCATTGTTTGCGAACAGTTACCTGTATCTTTAACCTTAAATGGAAATCAATCTCGCTTTGCTAGTACAGACGGCAATCATGTACGTTTATGGGTTATGGAAAAAATAATTTCTGCTGCGCTTCCAATTTTACTACCAGCTTCTTTGTTATTGGAAAATCAAGTTGTCGATGGAATACTAGCTATTCTTGTAGTAATGCATATGCATTGGTAGGTTATTTCTATTGGTCTCAAATGCAAATCTATTTTCTAAAAAAGTTAATTATTATATCTATGTAAATAGGGGTTTGGAAGCTTTGATTGTCGATTATGCAAGACCTATTATTATTGGAACGTTACTTCCAAAGGTATTTCATGTATTATTGAATCTTTGTTCGATTATAACACTCGCTGGACTTCTTGTACTAATTTATAATGGACCTGGTATTGGAAAATCTATCAAAGATGCATGGAGTATCGGTAAAAACAAAGAAACTTAAATATTTAGAATGGAACAGTCCATAAATGAAATAATTTATTGCAAAAAGTTAGGTATGCCGTAGTTACCCTCTTTCTAAATTGTACAGAAATAAAGTATTTATTGCCTTACACACCAGTAAGAAATCTTTATTTATTAAATGATTAATATACTATAACATAAAATTTTAATTAAAATCAGCAATAGGCCAAAGTAATATATTTATTCATTACTGTTTTGTACAAAATGCTATTGAATATATACTGTTAAAAACTTTATTGTTTCACTTTAATATTACAGCTTATTGTATACAAATGTAAAAATTATTATCTATATATATTTCTCTATTACCTATATATACTCTCTATATTTAAAAATATTATTGTTTTATTCCTATTTTTTGTTGCCGTTATATTGAATTTACAGCGTCATTTCTTGCTTATTAGTTAGACTCGTGAGGAGAATTTTTTCTGTAGTAATAGGACCATCTAAAATATTTTAAATATAATTATACATACATTTAAACTAACTAATTGAAATCAATTCTTAATATAAGTGATTTCTACCTAGTTGGTACCAGCCAGATTTTCCAGATTCTAATCTTGCAGCATTTAAAGCTTGCCGAATAGCAAGAGGAATTACATAAGCCATACATAATGGAGGTTCGCCAGTTGCTATAATATAATTTTTTTACAATAAGTTATGGAGTTACGAATTATTATTATTATTATTATTATTATTATTAATATTATTATTATTATTATTATTATTATTATTATTATTATTGCTACTATTATTGCCATATGTATTTACCTTTAGAACGTAATACACCTAATCGATTCGGTGTATTCCTTCTAAATGAAACTCTGAAGTCAACTGGAATGTCTTTAGCTCCAGGAGGTTTGTAATTCTAAATAAAAATAGAAACATAAATATTATTGATATATAAAATTAGATATTTTCTCAGTTACACTTTAAATTCGGTATAAATATACCCAAGTTCTATAATTCGTTAATGCGCCAGTTTTAGGATCGTAAATCAATTCTTCAGAAGTCCAATATCCCATTCCCATGACAAAACCACCTTCGACTTGACCCAAGTCAATTTCAGGATTAAGACTGATACCAGTATCTTCTATAATATCAACTCTTTGTACAATATGTTGTCCTGTAAGTACATCAATCTCAACCTCTGCAATGGTTGTACCATAAATTTTATAAGGTGTCACATCTTTTGCTGTAAACCTAAGAAAAATATAAATATAGAATTATTGTCTTTTCTTAGATATAAAAAAATAAGTTTTTCCAAAGAAATAAAACAAAAAAAAAGTCATTTTTCGTTTACATGTAACGAGCACACAGATCAACGTCCTTCAAATATGCTGCCATAATTAATTCCTGCCAAGTTGGATTGTTTAATTCTTTCTTGATAGGTTCTAATCTTAACAAGAGTTCTTTGCAGGCCATCATGGTTGCCTATGATCGATAAAATTTAACAATTCCCAATTGTATTATTTGCATAGGGGAAAAAAAAAAGAAAAAGTAAAACTTACGTAAGCACAAGACTCGCTAGTAATACTACCACCTGTGACGGAATTATTAGGTGCAGTAAAATTATCACTGGGTCTCACTTTAACAAGATCTAGATCTATACCAAGAATATACGCTGCTACTTGAGAGATCTAACGATTAAAAAGAAAAAAATTAAATTCTTTAATCTAATTTGTTATATCATAGAATTATTTTTGTTTTAATATTAACATTGTTACCTTCGTGTGAATACCCTGTCCACATTCAGTTCCACCATGGGAAATAGAAACAGTTCCATCGCGTGAATAAATGGTAACCATAGCATTGAATTGTCCCCAATACATGAGAGGATATTTCATTGGTATCAAAGATATTCCTTTTTTTTTCCAACGATTTTCCTATACGATATGTAAAATAAAAAAAAATCCGTATTTACGGAACGATCTATACATATGTTATTAATTAGATCTCAAAGTATTCGTTTCTTACGTTATTAAACATCTCGATCGCTCTCTTTCTCGAATCATAATCAGCAGATTTCTTCAAATCTTGTATTAATGGTTCCAACACACTTTTATCCTCTGCGTTCATATTTATCAATCTGACTTCTACAGGATCTTTATTTAATTCTGCAGCTATATGTTCCATTATGTTTTCTATCATGCTGATACCTTCCGTAGATCCTGTAACAAAGAGAATGTTTGTTAAAAAAATCATAATATTATAAAAAAATTGTTCAAGGATTCAATCATACCCGGTGCTCTACAATAAGTATTGGATGGGAGATCCGTTTTAACTTCAAAACCATCACAGGACCATCGTTTATTTTCGTAACAGCTGTGTATTCAATTATTAGAAAATTATTAATTTTTTGTTTATACTTAAAATTATTAATATAATATAATATATATATATATATATATACCTTCCCATATGATGCAATACAACAGGCGCATGCATCTCATTAAAAGAATAGCCGGCATTACCCCAATGTTTTGAATTCAAATACTGTATACGTCCATTATTGTTCACACCAACCTCGTATTCCTGTTTGGTGGAATATCTCTTGCCGACAGTTATCATATTACTTTCAATCGACATAATGAATCTCGCTGGTCGATTAAGTTTATGACATGCAAGAGCACACGCACAGGCTACTTGAGCCGATCGTGAAATTTTTGCTCCGTATGCACCACCCAAACGTCTAACATTGACGTTTATGCTGAGAGAAAAGAAAAATATTATGAATATATTATTTTATAAATTTTGTCTATTGTTTATGGCCAATTTAAAACATTTTATACGTACAATTTATAATTATTTTGATTGTTTAATAATTTTTTTTTTATATTGTTCCTGTACATTTATGAATTACATGTGATCAATGAAAGACAATTTTTCATTGACTGATGCCAATTTACGATTAACAATAAAAATTACGACTCGAGTGAGAATGTAAGATCCTAATGATGTAAATATTTAATTCTCATACCTATTATTTTTAATTCCAAGACATTCAGCAATTGAAACTTGAATAAGATCCATCCATTGGCTTGCTGGGTAAACATCTATCCCATCCTCAGTTGGAATGCAAACGCAAGATTGAGTTTCCATGGTATAATGATATTGAAAACCACAAGAGAACGTGCCTTTGATAACATGTTTCGTGTTTTTACCTATAAATAATATTATTAAAATTAGTTTATCTCCTATGATACTTGTTAAAAATATAAATTAATTAGTTTAATTACCTTTATCTGTCGCAGTATTATGTGCAGTTTGTAAGAACCTGTTTTTATTATTATCAGCTAAAGCGTCGTCGATGGTCAATATTGGTTTTGTTTTCAATGCATCGATATACGTTACTTTTACTTTCTTCACAGCTTCATTTGCAATAGTATTAGTCGTTGCAACTATTATGCCAACTGGTTGTCCAGCGTATAATATTGTACTGTCTGCAAATAGCTAAGGACAATAATTTTCTTATTAATTAAATTGATTATTTAATTATTGTAGCTAATGATTATAAAAATAGAATGATATATATGTATATATATATATATTAATTATAATAATAAAAATATATATTGTTATTTTACATTTAATATATTACAAAGAAAAGAGAGAGAGAGAGAGAAAGAGAGAAAGAGAAAAAATATTTGTTGATTATAGTGTAAAAAATAACAACTCAATTATGTCAAAGAATTGATCAAATAATTTATCTTACCGTTTCATCTTCATCGAGCATCATCAGATTGCTAGAACCTGAAATGAATATATTCTTTCCAGGAATATCTTCTGCTGTAAAGAAAGCCACCACTCCTTTCATTTTCTGAAAATATTTTTTTATAGCGATTTAATAATTTAATTATCTTCAATGATTTATCCTTCAATGATAACATACCAAAGCTTCCGAGGCATCAATATTTTCGATTTTACCATTGGCCACTTCAGTGACAACAAAAGCACAAAATACTTCATCCTTCAAAGGCATTATATCATTTATGTATTGTCCCTCTCCTGAGGTTTGATAAATGGCTTCCCTTTTTGCGATAGGCTTGTTCAATGGCCATATATTTTTATCAGTATCGAAATCATGTTTAGCCGATGATAATTCACGTTCTAAAATTGTTCCACCACTTCGAAGCTTTGGATCGATCTTCTCCGGTCTTATATTCAATATAAACTATAAAAATAAAAAATTTTAATTTTTATAAGTAATTCATAAATAAAAAAAAAAAAACAAAAAATAGAGGATCTTTAGTATAGTCAATTAATTAATAGTAAATGTCGATTAATGGCAATAAATTATTTTATTCATTAAATCACCTTTTATATAATTAAATGATACCTTGTAAAGTAATCCTTCGGCCAAAGTTTTCCTAAATTCTGGCGAATAATCGGGCAAAACGTGATCTGGATTTAATTCTTTATCCAATATATCAATAGCCGACTTGACGACGTTTTTATCGAATACGGATTTGTTAACAAGAAAATCTTGAGTATTTTTTGCATGCATCTGCAAGAATAAAATTATCGTAATTATACATTATTGATTAAAAATATTCACGTTTGATATCATCGAAATTACTAACAAAATTTCCTTTAATTCCACCGATTATGATATTAGGCTTCTCCATAACTTTTCCTGTTCCATCCAATTTAAATAAGAAACCAGCGTTAATGTGTGCATGTGCGTTTTGAGCTCTTGGCATGATCTAAATCAGATATAATAATTAAATTTTGAAATAATTTCTAATGCGTTATAAAAATTATTAAATTTTTATATATAAATTACCTTGTAAGATCTAAATTCATAGGAACTGTCGAGATTTGGAAGGATAACACTGTATATAATTTTGTGTTTCATATCACTTTCAAGAAATTCTAGCAAGGTCATCTCAATCTTATTTCCAGGACTTTCGACTGTTATTTACAAAATAATAATTCTATCATTAATCATTTAATTATTAATTACGATTCATATGTAATTGGATTTTCATTGATATTAATATAAATTATAATTTGAAAAATTTATTGGAATAAAATTATACTTATTTATGTATTAAATGATAATTATGATTAGAAAACAAAAAAATATTCTATTTATTTATTGTTATATATTTATTAACTCACGTATGTGTATACGTGCACCAGCAGTTTGAAGCATGAGGAACAAGTCCGATGGAAATTCATGGTGTTTGTGTTTGATCATGAGATTACCAGCGATGGTACCGATCTGAAAATAGGTTGTTTTTTCTTTTTCTTATTCGATCGTTCAATTTATTTTACATTTATTTTCTGACACAAATGTGTCGCCCTTTTTAACGATTACTCACATTACGGACTGGCACACTTGCGATTAGATCGATATGATGAGCCAAATGACGTAAATATTCGAAGCCTTTATCCTTCGAATATTTTTCAAAAGTATTCATTGCCAATGTAAGCGACACATTGCTCCCAAGTGTCAAAGAATGTTCAGTTTTTTCTATACGATGCAAATCGGGAATATCGTTTATGTCAATGTAAATATCTGGTTTTTCAATTCGATAAACACCTGTAATATTGAATTTTTTATTTAAATAAGCTGATAAATTTATTTATTCATTTTTTGTTTTTTTTTTGTTTAGATACACCTGTATCATTGAATTGAACGAATTAAATAAACTGGTGGAGATTTGATAAAAAGAAAAGAAAAACAAAAAAAAAATACAAAAAAAAATTTATTTCTTTTCGTTCACTTTTCTTTTTTTTTATGAAAAGATATCTTTCATTTTTTTTTCTTTTTTCTTTTTTCTTTCTCCCATGAAAAATACTTTCCATTCATTTTTTTATCTTTCACAAATTTTAAAGTAATTCACAAAATGTACCATGAGCAGTATTTCCACCGTTCAGTATATAAGTAGAATTTGGATGTTTTTGAAATGTCGAGAAGAGATGGTCCACCGAAAGTACTTTGTAAAAATTTGCATCCTCCAATTTCATTGATACGGGCGTTGACGATACTAGACCACAAGTTGATCCATTTAAGCAAGGCAAGCCATTTTTTGGACACTTCTTTATTTTATAAGCTTCCTGAAGACCATAATAAAAAAAAAAGAGTTTATATATATGTATATATAAGAGAATATATATTTAGAATTTATTTACAAATAAATTATTTATATACGAATAGAAATTGTTTTTACTTCGATATCTTGAATGGCCTTCACTAATTTGGGTGGTGCATCAGAAGCAAAAGATTTGAATGCATCCAAAATTGGTCTGTAACCTGTGCATCGACAAATGTTACTGCCAAATGAATTCTCGATTTCCTTCATTGTTTGTTTCTTATCCTTCAAAAGACTAAAAATTTATAATTAATTTAAATTAATAAAAAAAATACATATATATATACATATATTAATTAAAATAATTCACCGAAGAAAGAAATTGATATATATCTACTATATTTAATATAATATATATATATATAAAGATTGATCAATTAAAAATTGATTATTTCTAATGTATTAAAAAATTCACTATAATATAATTTCTTTTTTCTTAACTATAAAATAATCAACGACAAAATTTTACTCTTTTATATGCAATCATTAATTATTAATCATTATTATTATTTATAAAATTGTTGTGCTGACCTGTAGAGATTCATGACCATGCCAGATGAACAATATCCACATTGTGATCCATTCATGTCTGCTAAAGCTGCTTGCATGGAATGATATCCCTTCATTCTATTTCCTATACCTTCGATGGTTTCAATTGCCCATCTGTGAATAAAAAATGAAAGAAGAAAAAAATGAATAAAATATATTAATAAATCTGATATTCAGTCAGAACATTATTAATAATTAAAGATGAGAATGTACCCGTTACAGATAAAAATAGGTACAAGACAAGAATTCACTGCCATGGTTTGCCCTTTTACTGTTGCAGCAACGATACAAGCACCACAACCACCCTCAAGGCACATCGCTTTTGTACCTCGTAATTTCGCATGATCACGAATGAAAACGTTTAGAGATGTATTTGCCGGGACATCCTCTGATACTAAAATAATAATGATAATAATAATAATAATAATGATAATAATAATAATAATAATAATAATAATAATAATAATAATAATAATAATAATAATAATATATTTCATTTTATTTTGTATTATTTTTATATTAGCTCATCTATTATTATTTGATTAAATATTTAATTAAAATTTTAATTACATATATATATATATATTTATTTAATTTATTAAATTTGATTAAATTCTTTAATTTATATTTAATTAAATATTATTAAATGTTATTAAATATTTAATATATATTTTATTTAATGAACATATTTAATCAAACATTTTAAATAGGCTTTATTTTTTTATTTTATTTTATTTTATTTATTTTTATTTTTATTTTTTTTTTGTAATAGTACTTTCTTCTTTACTTTATAGTTATTTACAAAGATAACTGTAATATGATATTTTTATTTGTTAATAGTTAAGTAATATTAATCTTCATTCGATCAAATAATAAGTTTTATTAGGATTTTATAAGGTTTTTTTTTTTTTATATTTTCTTTTTTTAATAATACTTTTTATTCTTTTATTTTACGATAAAACTTTCAATAGCATTTATAATCTCTTTATTTAACAGATTAGAAGAGTGAAGATATAGAGAAGAGTGGAGGTTCGAACAAATGGTACTACTCAAGTGTAATGAATGAGGGTCAAGGGGTGCCAAATTATCTAGAAAAAGGGTTGACGGAGGGTAGAGAGAGAGAGATAGAGAGAGAGAGAGAGAGAGTTTAGATGGAAATGAATCTCAAAGTATAGGCTAGGGTGCGAGATGAAGAAGAGGAGATAATGGAAGGGACTTGGAGATAAGATTATACAGAATTTGTGGAAAGGAAAAGGGATCATGGAAGCGTATGTGAGAAAGATTTAGAAAGGTGGTAAAAGGAGAAGAAGAATTAGTATAATTTAATTATATTAAATCTATTCACTTAACTTAAAGTTTAATTTGATATATATATATACACAATAATAAGGAAGAACAAGTATTTTTACTTTAAAGGGATTGACAATACATACATATTATGTACAAAGACTGTACATACATGTTATACATGGATAATAATTTAAGTGGAGGATAATGTTTTTTAACTTATAATAACTTTTCAATAGAGTTTATAACATTTACTTGAATAATTGTCAAGCGATATTTATTTTATTTAATGAAGTAAAAAGGGATGGAACGTTCTTTGTTTTTTTCTCTTTTTCTTTTTTCCTTTATAAAAATAATTTCGTAGAAAACAACTTGTTGTTGTTGTTGTTGTTTTTTTTTTTTTCCTATTTTTACGTTTCAACAGAAAAGTGAGAAAATATGATTGTCATTAAATATATCATCTCTCATTGTCAATCGAATTTTTAGAAGTTTTAAAATTATTCGAATTATTATCTATTTCTTTAATAAAATTATCATGTTTTATAACGGGTTTTTATTTTCTTTCAATCTGTAAATTCGAATTTGTTTTTTCTTTTTCAATGATTCGATAGCGCACATGTAATTAATAAAAGTAATTCTTACTTGTATATGGTGTACCATTGATCATCAAGTCGACAGTAGATTTGGTATCCCTTAAAATACAGAAACATGTCCATTATTCATTAAATTCATTTTTTTTTTTTTTTTAATTAACAAAATGAAAGAATATAATCAATAGAAAAGAAAAAGAACATGTACAATGTTTTTACATTCAAGATCAATCGTTGAAACATTTTCACCGACTAAAATTTTATTAGGAAAATTTGCAATTTTTTAAAATTTGTTTTCCTTGCTTTTATCAGTCAGGAAAAACTATCGGACATGAAGTAAATTTTTACTTTGTATGTGAAGAACGTCCTCGAATTTGCAATAAAAGAAAAAAGAACTGTTAAGATATAACTTCTGAATATTTATCTGTTTTTTTTTTAATATTAATAAGAAACAAATATACTATAACAATATTTTAACGTACTATTTTCCATATATACGCAAATGGATATGCTTATTTTTAGATAAGTATGTAAATAAAACATATTTATTTTTATTTATTAATAGGAAAAAAAAAGACAGATGAAAATGTAAAGGAAAAAAAAAGGAACAAATGAAAATCTATTTTCTATTTATACTTTTTATAAAAATATTTTCTATCAAAGATATGATGACTACTCATTTGTTGATACACACACACACACACACACACACATATATATATATATATATATTGCACATAGTTGCACAACTTTAATTTCCGGTGTGTAATATTCTCGATACGTACAATCTGCTTGGCAATATTCAATTATTATTGCACTATCATTTTCCAAATGAATAACACATATATACGTATGTATATACATATAAACATTTCATAAGTGTGAATAATAGGTGAAATGAAGATAATAAATAATTTTTCAATTAGAGCTTCTATTTTTCATTTTCTTTTTTTTCTTCTACGTTTTATCTACTTCGTCCCATCATATCATCTGTCTTACTCATTAACGATTTCGTATTAACGTTAATATATTAAAGCGAATAATATTAAACGTTATTTAAAAATAAAATATTCTACATATTATACATATTAATCAGAACGGTTCTCTAATAGTTTTTAAAAACGTTTCTCTAATCAACATTTTTCTAATCACTTTTCTACAGTTAGATCTTATTTTATTTTATTCGATCATATTACTTTTTTTTTTATATTATAAATTAAATATAATGATTGCTTATATACCAATATAATTATGCTACGTTAAGTATAATTTACTGAAATATTTATAAATTGCAATTAAATTTGCAGCCACGTAAAATGAGATGAAAATTAAACAAAAAAAAAAAAAAATAAAAAAAGTAAAAAAAAAACATAAAAAGAAACAAAAAAAAATTTAGACATTAAAGTTATATAATATTATAGAGGGTTAATATGACGAAACGAGGTCGTTAAACGAACATACGTTATGTATATATATATATATATATATATATATATATATATGCATATATGTGTATCATAATCATGACAACAACCCTTCGTGCTTTATTTAGCGTAATCCATATTGAAACGCTTATGTAGAATCAATTAGGAATATAGGTCATTAGTTATTAGTCGTATGTGCCTCTAATCTGAATTTAAAATGAACAATCGAAGTAAAACTGTTTCATGTAATTAGTGATTTTATTATACGTACATATAACAATGCAAATTTTTGTAGCAGAAATTCTTTTTTCTGCTACAAAATATAAAACGTAGATCATTAAATTATTACGTAAATCATAGATCATCGTGGAACGATGAAATCATATAATAACGACATAATTACAACGTTCGTTTTAAGAAAGGATTCGTACGTCCGTTGATTGAAATCATTCATGCTGTTTCATCTATTATTATTTCTTTTTTTCTTTTCTTTCTTTCTTTCCTTTTCTTTTCTTTCTTTCTTTCCTTTTCTTTTCTTTTATTTTTTTTTTTAAAACACCTGACGTCGTCATTCAATCATTACATATGAATAATTAATGTATTTAATTAATATTGTTTATATTTTGTCAAAAGTATTCTTCGTCTTCTCTTTTTTTAGTTTTCTTCTTTTTTTTTTTCTTTTTCTTTTTTCTTCGCAAAACTACAATATCCAACAGAGACATTGAAATTAAATTTTATTATTATGCATTAGTAGCAGTTGTTATAACGAAAGAGATACGTAACGACATAAGTCAGAGTATTAAAATGAAAATTATAATATCAGAGATTCTATGATTACGACGAAGGCTCATTTAACGAACCTTTGATTCAGGATTTGTAAATCCATTCCTTGAATAATGAGTTATCTTTTTTTAAGTATAATTAAGTATCAAGTTTACATTGATTATCCGGATGTTTAATCATTTATCAATAACATATATTACTCTTCATTAAAGCTTCATTTTTTTTTTTAACAAACAACAATGTAAATTACTGAAGATATTATGAAGTTGAAGATAAAATAGAAAAAAATTTTTCCATTGACGTTTTAATTATATTAACATATATGTATATTACGTTCTCGTAACTTTGAAGTTACATGTAATACGCGTATCAATAGTTCTGTCATTATATAGTGGTTTATTTATAATCGAAAGTTAATGTAAATAAAATTTAAGTTTCAACTTGTCGAATAATTTTATTTCATTTTATTTTATTTTATTGTATTTTGTAATCTTCTTCGTTTATTTTTTTTTTCTTTTTATTTCCTTTTTTTTTGTTTTGCTTAAATTAAATTCACGAAGAACGGTGAGAACGTTCAAGACATTGTATATATATATATATATATATATATATATATATATATATATATACAAGCGTGAGAAAAATGCATTCATGCAATTAAATTGAGTCCATCTTGTCGACATAATCTTATCCATTGCATATAGAACAATAGCTATGCATTTCATGCACGTACATATATACATTTTTATTGTACATAACTATCGTATATATCAACTCATCATACCAGCTGTTTCCTATTAAAGAGAAAATTCCATCTCGAAATATTTTATTCGGGATATAGGCTGTACGATTCACAATGGTGCTGTTTTTTCTTATCTTTTTTTTTCTAATTATTTTTTTTTTATTCTTTTATTTTATTTTTTTTCTTTTTTAATTCTACATCAATAGTTTTCGAGAAAATGCATTTTGAAATTGAAAGTAGAGAAAATTACATTTTATTTTATTTTATTTAATGTTCAAATTGAGTATAGACGACTTTTATGTAGTAATAATGTCTTTGTTCAGCGTTACGTCATTCTGCAATATATTTAGCTTAATTCAATGAGTGAGTAGGCTTGGTAACAAAATAATACAAACAATAATATTTGTATGTGCGATGCATGCATGTGTATGTGTATATGTACGCGTGTGTACGTGCGTGTATGTATTAGAAAAAGAGTTCATCTGTATCTTAAAAATTTTTTTCTAATATCAACCAAAAACAAAAAGAAGATATATTATATGACTGCGTGAATAATCAGACATTTTTTATAAATAATTCGTCAACTAATTATTTTTTCAATACTACAACAACTTAATATACTTTTATTCAGAATGACAGGAGGAATCAATTTATACAAAAAAAAAAAAAAAAGAAAAATTCAAAATCACATAGCTTTGACGCAAATAATAATATCTAAAAATGTTTACATGCATCGGTGAATGAATGTACGTATATATGTAAATAATAACATGATCATCCTTCAGCATATAAAACACTTTCTGCATTGGTACAAATAAGAGCGAAATGATCTGAAAGGGAGAGAGAGTGAGAATTACAAAAATACTTGGCCTTAAGTTACTTTCACGTTTGTACTCATTTTAAAACGAAATAAGAAGTTTTACTTGAGGTCACATTTTTCCTGTAGAAATCTATACTATTATGTAATCTATACTATAATGGTATAGAAATTTATACTTTTATGTAACCGATATATATATATATATAAAATTATATAAAAAATTATCTTAAATAAATTAATAAAAAGTAAAATTCTTTCCACTTTTATCAAAATAATAATAAATTTCAATTATCAAATATTAATTGCTGTAAATCTTCTTAAAAGAAAAAAAGAAAAAAAGAAATTATATAAATAAATATATATATATATATATATATATATATTATATACATACCCGCATATATCAGCTGTCGGTGTCATAGTTATCTCGAACTTGATAAAATACGAAAAATGAATATAAACTT